ATCAAGCATTAAATCATCACTAATCCAGCTGTTCAGTAAAAGCTTGAAGTCTTTCCTCAGGAATGCCAGGAACAGCAGCAATCCTGACATGTAACTTTAAATTTTGAGGAGTTTTAAACAAAAAACTCTCTTGCAATAGAGTTTGAAATACTCAAGTTAAATGTTTATTTTGAGAGTTTAGTAGGGACTATATTCAATATCTTCCAATAACTATTATGCTATTATTACTTCACCCTCAAATATTTACTTCAACTGACATAATTCAAAGGGAATACATAAAAGGAAATAGCAACCTTAGTTGCACTGGTACTTGGGACACTTAAGGCAAGTTACTAAGGCACTTACATAAATCAGATGTGACCAAATACAGTCAGAAAAACTGGCTGCAACTATTGACAATGGACATCTCTTAACAATGACAATATAACACTGTATCATAGAACTGATGGACCTATTCATGTAAAATAGATTGTTCCCTGATATTGAGGAGAAAAGAATAAAAAGAAAACTATGATATATTTTACCAGTGCTACACTTCACCTTAGCTAAGATTCTCTACTAAGGGCAAGTGCATCAAAAACCTTTCCAACACTGAAGCAAGTGGATGGCTCTAGGAGAAGATACATTTCAGGTCTGACACTTTGGTCTTAGCCAGGAGCTTTTTGTTTTCCTGAGTAAGACTGAATAGTTACTCTACTTTTGTAAGCCTTATGCTTAATTTTTTTGAAGGTAGCATACTTTGCCAAGAGATGGCAATGCAAATATTACATGTAACCAGTTAAAAACTTTGCTGGGAGAAGCAGAGATTGATGCCTATAGAATTTGAAATATTTCTTAGGACCTTAAGAGCAGTCCAAAGACAGCATTAGTCAGCAGAATGTCAGTTCTGAAAAATGCTAATATCTGAAAAGCAATTTCAAGATGCAATGGGATATTTAATGAACATTAAACATTTGGAGTTACACTAGAGAAACAGGTTGTTTTTTGCCAAACAGCCCTCCTTAAAGCTGGCTGCACCATATCACTTGTTTCAAATTAGAGGCAAGTTAAAAAGCTCACAGAACTCACTTTCATATAGCATTGAGTTGCATCTCTTTCAGCCACTGTAAACTCCAAAGGTTTATAATATGCATGGAATACCTGGTAGGAAAAACAACAACATTTTGGGTTAGAGAGCACTGTTATGTCAAAAACTGCCATTTAATATTATAATGACTGGTATTACTACATCTTTATACCTCTGTAGAAAAAATTATTTATTTAAAACCTTTTCATTATTTTAAAGGAAAATACGGAAAGCCCAGCAAGATGCTGCACAATATAACTTGCTAAAATGGCAGCTACTTTAAAGCTGTCACCCAATTTTAAAGCTGTCAATAATTTCAAGCCCACTAGGTAACAGTTCCCATTGTGACCTGGTGCAATACTACCAAAGCTCTGAGCACTTCTGGGGACTCCCTAACTGCAAACATACTGTTTTGGGGGTCCAAAAATTTTTTACCTGATGCAACAGTGAAAATTCTGTCTGTTCACAGTGCAACTCTGCCACCAAACAAGAGAATTACAGCTGATTTCATACCTCAATATTGTCTGCCCCATGACACTGCACAGCTGCCTCCTCCGACAGTCCCACGCAGCCGTATTCCAGCGGGGTGAACACCGTGGTGGGCACCTGCTCCGGGGGAACAGCGGTGTTACTGGGAACACGGGGTGTTACTGGGGAGCAGGGGGTGTTACTGGGAACAGGGGGTGTTACTGGGGAACAGGGGTGTTACTGGGGACAGGGGGGGTTTCTGGGGACAGGGGGTGTTACTGGGGGAGCAGGGGGTGTTACTGGGGAGCAGGGGGTGTTACTGGGGAACAGGGGGTGTTACTGGGGAACAGGGGG